GTACAGCAAGAGAGAGTGAGGCCAGAAAAACAGAGGGCATGGGGCCCAGAGAGAGAGAGAGCTTGAGTCCATAGTGAGACAGAGTCCAGGGCCAGAGTGGGACTTGGAAGAGATAGCCCTGAAGCCTACAGAGAGAGAGCTTGAGCCCAGGAAGTACTAGGTACTTGGGAGAAAGTCTGGTGCCTTTGGGGGTGGGGAGGACACCAGGAAGGTCCAATGTCCAGGGCAAACTAGAGCATATCATGAGAAGGTTCAGTGCTTGGAGGGGACTAGGAGGATTGGGTGACTAGGGTGAATTGAGGGAAGCTCCCGTGCCTGGGGCCTCCCAGAGGGCAAAGTATGGGGCCAAAAGGCCCAAGCCTATAGAAAAGGTAGTGTCAGAAGGGCTAAAGAGCCTGGAGGTCTTGAACCCAGGAGGTGTGAGGACTGGGGCTTAGAGCCTATAGCCCATGAGTGGTGTATGTTAGCAAATAACCTGTGAGGCTTGGGAGTGGGTATTGGGAAGTATAGAGCCCATGAAGTTAACCCTTAAGTCAATAACCATAAGCACCTGTGGTCATAAAAGTAAGACTAGGCTTGGGGAAATCCTGGGGCAGTGTCCCTTTCACCAGAAATCAATCACATTGAGGTGTGGCAGGAGAATAACAAGGAAAGGGCCTGAAGGGGAGCAAAGTTGGCAAGGGCTGAGCAGCCACTAGGGGGGCATTGCAGTCACCTCTGGGACATCCTGAACTTGGTGAAACTTTTAGTCAAAAGAAAGAAATGGGCGGGGGGGGAGGAATGGAAAGGAAGTGGATCAAAGCATTCTGCTTTCCTCCCAGGAGGGGTGAGGACTGGAATTTGGAGCCCATAGCTCAGGTCTGGCCAAAATATGGCCAGGGGGCTGTGCGTTGGAGGGGGGAGAGGGAGTAAGTAGGGGTCCCCATACCACCCCTATCCTCCCTCACACGCCACAAACGCCAGATGCCCCCCACATATACATACATCTACCCCCCCCACCTCACACACACACGCTATACAAAAGTAAGACTTTATTATTTTCAAGCTATTATGCAATTGTGTCTATATATACTATGCAAACACATACAAATCAGGTCAAAAATATTTTCTGAAATAAAATTAAAATACATTATAGTAGATATACTAAAAGTCAAATACAACTTTTTTTTTTTCCAGTTCTAAGATGGCAACCCCCCCGCCCTCCCTACCACCCCCATCAAAAGGATTATTTTTAGGGCAAGGGCAGGGACTTCCAGTAGCAAGGATCAGGGGCTGGACTTCTGGTCCCAAGAGTACGATTAGGGGGTGTGGCACCTGTGAAAAGGTGGGGATACCATTGCAACCCTTGACAGCTCACCAAAATTCATTAAGTGGCCCTCCAGCTGAAATAATTGCCCACCACTGCCCTAGCCCATAAGTGGCATATGTTAACAGACCACCTATGAGTTTTGATTCCAAAGGATCAAATCATTTTGCTTTGATCCTTTGGAAACAAAACGCTTGAGATTTTTATTTCAAAACAACATTTTTCTTTCAAATATTGACACAATATAATAAAAAAGGGGTCAAATGAGCAATTAAAATAAAAGCCCTCAAATATATCACTTTACGTTTAGTCTGAAACTGCATTTTTTTTATTTAAAAAAACAAAACAAAAATAGCTTTCATTTAGGGTGGATTCAGAATAATTATTTTTCCACTCTGTCTATAAACTGGAAAGCCAGCTATTTGAGGTCTGTTGTTCATGCAGCTTTGTTCAATAAGCCTCAGTCAGCATTAGAAAACACAAAATTCAGGGCACAGTATAATCTGAGGCAGGCACAGCCTCTGGCCAAAGAGGCTTATGGTCTAAGATCCCAGAATTGCAAGCCTAAAGGTGACCAAGTTTTGTAACAGCTTGCGCAGTGTAGAGCATAAGTGACAGTAGTTTCACCTCACTATTCAAAATGCATGCTTTTGGCTGAGGCATGATTTCCACAGCTTCTTAGTACTGCAGTACTATTTCCTCTGTGTATAAGGTCAACAGATCTGTCTTGAGTTTTGTAAAAGAACAAGTTAGTAATAGTACTGTGATTGTACCCAGGGCTTGGAAAATCTTTGCAAAAGCTATCATTTCATCAGTTTTGTAGCAGTTATAGGAAAAATGGTCTCTGCGTGCAGTAGGCAAGATTGCAGCAATGCGATCAAAGCTGCAGAATGCTGGTTAGCAGCTTGCATTACCTGAATATTATAAAACCTTATTAAAAATGAAGGGCTTGATTATGACTCTTAGGAGCCTAACCCCTTCTGTGAAGGCACATTGACTGAGCAGCACTACCTGGAAAGTATTGTGTTTTTGGAAGGTATAATGGTTTTAGGAAACAACACATCAGGTTTTACCTGCTCTACAAGTTTAGCACATCATCTATCTGGGAACAGAGCGTGGCAGACCATAGAATCACAGAAAATTACTGTTTGAAGTAACCACAGGAGGTCATCTAGTCCAACCCCCCTGCTAAAAGCAAGACCATTCTGCAAGTATAACATCCCAGGAAAGGCTTTGTCTACTCAGGTCTTAAAAACCTCCAAGGATGAAGATTACACAGCCTCTCTCAGTAGCCTGTTCCAGTGATTTACTACCCTCCTAGTGAGAAAGCCTTTCCTAATATCTAATCAAAGTTTCCTTTGCTGCAACTTGAGACCATTGCTCCTTGTTCTGTTATTTGCTACTACTGAGAACAGTTTCGCTCCATCCCCTTTGGAACCAC